AGTGTAGTATGTAATCCTCTTCCCTTGTCGAATGCTAAGTGCCGTCGCAGCCTCTCCTTGCAACGTTCAATGTTACATCGCGTACGAGTGATAAATATTCAGGACAACACGTAAATTCCACATTAATTCTACTGGGTATACTTCTCTCAATTTCATTTGTAATTGGATATCGGCGTTAGTATTTTTATACGAAATACAAGTCTCGAATTGTAATCAGATTCAATACTAATTTTTGGGCAGTTATGCTCGTTCATTAGTTATTCATTATTTATTTACTTGACATATTTTTTATATGGAATAAGGATGACAAACGAGCACACAATCCAACTGATGGTAAGTAAATGCCGTGGCACATGGACTTATCTATCCACGGTTAAGAATCTAAATGCAAATACGTTGTAACTTTTGAGCACTTAGATAGAATGCCTTATTACCAGTAACAAGGCTCTCCGGTTCTCTACACTCACCATACGAAACACGGTAACATTAAGCTTCTTTCTATTTTACGCCGGTATCCAGGTAAAAGCTTTCGAGCCGAACTTTTTGTGTTACAGCCATAATACAATTACAACCAGACTCTACCTCATGTTAAATATCTCCATCTGAAGGTGGTCATTAAAGTTGTATAATAAAAAAGTGAAAGTCCTGAAAAAAGTTCTTATCGAATTTTAATGAAATTAAATGATGAAATTCACTATAGATAAACTTAATTGAAAGAAGTTCTTATTTAAAATTTCTTTCAATTAAGTTTATCTATAGTGGATTTGACGACTCGGTGACGCAGTAGCTTAACCATACTGATGGGATACATGTCCGAATCCGGAAAGTGTTCGTATGGCCTACAAATAATTGTTCCGGGTCTGGATGTTTGCCCTTGGGGAAATGTATATAAACGGCCCCTACGATGCAGAAGAATATTCTACTATGAGGGTAATATTAAAAAAAAGTATATATAAGTAAATTAATAAATATTATTACGTTGTTTTCATGGCAGGTTTTTGAGTGATGCGTAATTTTCGTTATGACGTTGTAACTGAAATATTTACTTGAGTTAATAAAAATCGTGTTTTGAAGGACACGGCTAAAATTAGTCCAGTTATTGCGTTGAAGGTGATCGATAGCATTACTGATGCATTAGCTGACGGTATCACAAGGCCGATGACTGCCGTCCAGGTTCACTCGCTGGAATAAAATATGCTGATGGAAACGTTCGATAGTCTGAAAATAGATACCTAAGGTTAAAGTCTAGAACTAATCGCTCTGTAGATCAATAACACTTTTTCATCCTCAGAGTCCGACTGGATAGTTGCCACCACCTGGCGTTTTCTGCCACAAAGATCAATGCGTCCAAAAGTGCGTTCGGGTCTATAGGGTAAACAAGTGGTAAAATTAAAAATTTTGTATAACCGACTTCAATATGAATAAAATGAGAACATCATTAATGCAGTCGAAGTCAATTAAATACGCATTATTAAGGATATCTCAAAAACTACTGGTCAGATCTTGATCAAATTTATTTGGGACTACATGAGAAGTAGTAGCATCGGTTTACAAATAAAAAAAGAATCGTCAAAATTGGTTTAGCAAGAAAAAAGTTCTGAGGTAACACACAAAAATATCAGTTATATTAAAACCTATGAAGCATTCTATCTTAACCCTTAGAGGCAACCACGCATCTGCACTTTTCTATATTTAAGTTGTTTCCAGGTGTCCAGGCTTACTGTAGCCACCTACCAGCAGGTGGACTGTTAGTAGTTCTTTTGTAACTTCAATGTTATAAAAACTGCCGCTTGTCAGTGGCTGCCCTCTCTTTTGATTGACGGCTTTGAAGCGAAGTGGTTTATCAGTGAGTAACGGCGAGGACCGCGGGTCGCATCCCGCACGGAACAGGTAGTTGTAATATGGTCGAGAAATAATTGTACCAGGTCCGTGTTTGTGCCTTATATGTTTGTAAACCTCCACGATACATAAAAATCATATAGCGTAGCTGTTAAAGTTAAAAGTTAAAGTTACAACCTGTATACGTCCCACCACTGGGCATAGGCCTTCTCTCAATTCTGAGAGGAGTTTTAGGGTAAGAAAACGTCCGCTGCGCTGCCCTAGTGCGTATTGGTGAACTTCGAATGTCTCCGAAATATTTTTCTCATATCTTAGATATGCAGGTTTCTTCACGATTTTTCGTTCAACGCCGTGAACGTGGTAAATCATTACTTAAAAATGCAATTATAAATTTCATCGGTGCAGGCGGGATCGAACCCGGAGTGCTCGCAAACCGTGAAACTTTACAGCGAGTGCTTAGCCCATGAGCTACTACCACCCAGTGTGTAGGTGTAACATTTTTTTTTAGAATGGAACTATCTGTTCATTATGATTTCTTATATTTACGCGAACACTACACATTGAAATAATACTAGTTTTTGCGGAATTTATCGCGTATATTTAAATTTTTTAAATACCCGACGTTTCGAACGCTTTACAGCACTCATGGTCACGGGAAGGACTGAGATGTTTAACGTCCATATGTCTTAGTTAACTGCGGTTACCATAGATTAAAATTTAACTTTTGTTCCGATCTATGCAGTATGAACTTATGGTATCTTGAAGTCTTGCAGTTGTATGCTTGGGTTGGGATTTAATTTTATTTATTATAGGATCCCAAGCAGATGGTAGCACCCAGCCATCTTCTCTATTGAAATTAGGATGTTTTTTGATTTCAATAGCCTCGCGAATCATCCTTGGAAGGAATCGGTGTTCTTTAGCGAGGATCTGCGGTCTATCAAATCTGATGTAGTGACGGGGGGCGATCCTGTACGTGTTCACAGACTGCAGACTTCCCGGAGCGTCGATTCTTCACATCAGCTATATGTTCTTTAACGCGGGTTTTTATTGATCTTTTAGTTTGTCCTATGTAGGAGAGACCACATTCACAATCAAGCTTGTACACTCCTGCATCTTGTAGAGGGACATTACACTTGACCGATGGTAAAAACTGACCAATCTTCTTCAGCGGCTTGAAGTATGTTTTGATGGGAGCGCGCTTCAAGATGTAGCCAATCTTGTCAGTGACTCCTCTAACATATCGCAGTACAGCAGGTACACGCTCGACTGTGGCCGGCTTCACTCGTTCACTGTGACGTAGGCGCGGGACTCGAAGCTTGTTGTCATGCAAAACTTGCTTGACATGGTGGAGCTCTGCAGCCAGGTGTTTACTGTCACAGATCCCTCGTGCTCTCTGAAACAAAGATTTACCCACGGTAGCTAACTGTGAAGGATGGTGGTGAGAATCACCTTTTAAATATCTATCTGTATGGGTCTTTTTTTCTATACACAGTATGGCTCAAGGTGTTATCAGGATTCCGAATTACTAACACACCTAGAAAAGCTAAGGAATTGTTTGCCTCTAACTCCATTGTGAACTGAATTTTAGAATTTATAGAATTAAGATGGTCTAAAAATTCAGTTACTTTATCTAAAGGTAGAATTGTGAAAGTGTCGTCTACGTACCGCTTGTAGAACCTTGGATTTATGGGAGAACTAAGCAGGGCTTTCTCCTTAAAGTCTTCCATGAATATGTCGGCGACAATGGGAGATACAGGTGAGCCTATCGCCACACCATCTACTTGCTTGTAGAACTCCTCCTTCCACAATAGGTAGCCAGATGTAAGGCAGTGTCTGAGTAATACTGCATATTCTACGGGCATGTTGTTTTCTTCCAGCTTTCTCGTTACAATTGAGATGCAGTCTTCAACAGGTGAGCATGTAAACAATGACTGCACATCAAAACTGACCATAGTTTCATTGTCTGCCAGATGTAGGTCTTTAATCTCGCTGACAAAATGGTAGGAATCCTTTATGTGTGCTCTTGTATGTCCCCTGAGTGGTGAGAGTATTTTCGCTAAGTGTTGAGTCAATCTGTAAGTTGGTGAATCGATTTGGCTCACTATGGGACGTAATGGAGCATTGGGCTTGTGTATTTTTGGTAACCCATACAATTTTGGTGATTTGGCGCAAGTAGGTATTATCCATTTTACGTCCAGATTTAATTTTTCGGAGTGTTTCTTTATGAGGTCACTAGTTGTTTTTAGTGTGCTATTTGTTGGGTCGTTTTTAACCTTTTTATAAGTACTTACATCCGACAAAAGTTCTTGTATTTTAGAATTATAATCTGACGTATCCATGACTACCGTGGCGTTTCCCTTATCTGCGCGGAGAATCGTAAGTTCGTGTTTATTGCGTAGGTTCTTTAACGCTATAAATTCGTCTTTGGGAAGATTCGGTTTAGGCACTGAACATCGACGTAACATAGACGAGATGTCTTGACGTATCGCCTCCAAATCTTCTTTCCGCATATTGTTTTTAAATAAACAGTCCTCGATACTACAGATAATTTCTTCGTACGATAATTTACGGGGTGTAATTGCAAAGTTGAGGCCTTTGGATAAAACCCTAATTGTTGCATCATCCAGTCATCAGGCGTAGGGAATTGACGACCCCATCGCCCGCTGACGTAACAGTTAAGTGACAAAACTGCTACGTCAACGCAGTCAGTCAGCGCCTTGCGAGAGGTGTGAGCGCCGTGCCGCGGCAGAATTTAGGGTGCAGAGGCCCGTTTGTGCTTATGGCTACACACGAAACGGTGCCGGGCCTGGGCGTCTCCCGTTAATGGACGCCCAAATAATGGATGATGGATAAAAAGATAGTGCGCAAAGGGCCGCTGCCTGGGGGTCGCCGGGGCGCGTCTGGAGCTGGCGCTGGACGCGGCAGCATGCGGGCCGCCAGCCGAGCGCGAGGAGCTGCACGGTCATCTACCAGCCCTCCGCATCCATCATCCCCACCAGAAGGCTTGGTGTCGGCTGGGTCTTCTCGGACTCAGCAAGCGGCACCCGCCGCTGGTGGAGCACGTCGCATGCGTTGGTCACAAGAAATGAATGCAAACGCACTGCGGGCGTACTTTAGGGCAAAAAGGGGAAGAAACTGGATGTTTGGCGTATCGGGCTAGGATGCATCGTCTTTTTGCTGAGCTGGAGCCATCTTTAATCGTCACAGAGCAAAACCTGGCAGACCGAGTTCGGTATATCTTGCGCTCAAATATATTTGATGTCGCCGAACTCGAACGGCTACGACGTGAGGCTGTTCCCTCGTCGGATGAGAATGCTACGGCTGAGGATGCGGCGCCACAAATGGTAGAGCAACCCGCAAACGTGGATGCCGCCGTGAATACCCCAGTTGTGGTTGATTCAAACGATGATGGAACAGTCGCCCAGGAACTGGAATTAGAGCATATGAGGAGTATATTGGAAGAGGCGATTGTGGAAACGCGCAGTACGCCTCTCGAAAATCGACCGCGACTTCCCCGCATAGCCCTAAGCAAGCGGAATCGGGCTGTCGTGAGGGCTCTGAACCCAATGCTGGTTACCTATTTGGAAGCCAGCCGGGACCTTTGCGAGACGGACTCAATTCTTTTTGGCGCCGCGCTGGCAGTCTGCCGTATCATAGGCGCCAAGGTTTCCACGGCTGGACGCGCTACTGGCCATAGTAGCGCTATCCCAGCATGGAGAAGAAGAATTGAGGAACGTATCGCAAAGGCTAGAGCTCTCATCGGCAGACTGATATGCTTCAGATCAGGCAACAACAGGCCAAGAATTGTGCGCACCGTCAGGATGGCGTTTGCTGGGACAAATGTCAGTTTGTCCCAGCCGCATATAACGCAAAAACTGACGGAGCGCATAGATGATCTGAAGCAGAGAATCGCTGCTTGGGGAAAGCGGATTCGGCGATATACCGAGAGGTCGACACGGTTCAACCAGAATCGTCTCTTCCAGAGTGATCAGAAGAGGCTCTATGAATCATTGGAGCGACCAATGGTAAGTGGAACGGGTCCAGCACCGGATCAGGCCGACACTGTAGCATTCTGGCGCGGCCTGTGGTCAGAGCCCGTAAACCACAGCGAGGGCCCTTGGACGGAAGTTGTGGCGAGTCAGTGTGCGGGTATTACGCCCATGGACCCCGTCATCATAACGCCGGATGACGTAGCTGAGGCGGTTCGTAGGGCCCCGAACTGGAAAAGTCCGGGGCTTGACGGGCTGCATCACTACTGGCTGAAGGGGTTCATGGTGTGTCACTCTGTGCTCGCCCGACAGTTTCAAGAGGCTCTCAACCAGAAGTCGCTCCCAAGCCTCTTCACTACTGGGATCACTCATTTAGTTCCTAAAGACCAGGGTACCACAGACCCGAGCAAATACCGCCCCATCACGTGTCTACCGACCATATACAAGACACTAACATCCATTTTGAGCGCGAGAATCACTTGTCACCTGGACTCAAATCAGGTGATGTCGCGCGCTCAAAATGGATGTCGGGGCGGTGGTCGTGGAACCAAGGAACCACTCCTCATTGACGCGGTCATTGGCAAAGTGGTGAAACGCAACCGTCGGAACTTCTCCGCCGCCTGGATAGACTACAGAAAGGCATTCGACTCGGTGCCCCATACATGGCTAGAGAGAGTCCTCGAGCTGTACAAGATAGACTGTACAGTTAGAGACTTCCTCGAGCAGTGTATGGGGCAGTGGAGTACGATCCTTTGTCATCTAGGCGAGCGGATGATGGCTGCGGAGAACCACATAAGGATAAGAAGGGGTATCTTCCAGGGCGATTGTCTGAGTCCAATCTGGTTCTGCCTCTCTCTGAACCCTCTCAGTACCTTACTGGAGGGCTCCGGGAGGGGATTTCAGCTACGGAAAGGAGGGACAAAAGTGACCCACCTTTTCTATATGGATGACCTCAAGTTATTCGCCTCCAGTCGCTCCCATCTTATGGAATTGTTAAACATCACTTGTGAATTTAGCAATTCTATTGGAATGGAGCTGGGAACGGATAAGTGTGCGGTCCTCCATGTTGAAAGGGGACGGGTTGCTAACTCTGAGGGCGTAGACTTATCTATGCCCGTCAACTTAAGGACCCTTTCCGAGGCTGAAACATACCGATACCTGGGTATGTCACAAAACATCGGTATCGATGAGACTGGTATGAAACAGTCAGTTTGCGACGTGTTTTATGCACGCTTGACCAAAGTGCTTAACAGCCTTTTGTCCGGTGTGAATAAGGCACACGCATATAACGGCTGGGTCATGCCTGTCCTCATGTATACCTTTGGCATACTCAGGTGGACTCAGACTGAACTTAACGCCCTGGATAGAAAAGTCCGCACTACAATGACGTCCCATAGGATGCATCATCCGAGATCGTCGGTAATGAGGCTGTACTTGCCGCGGAAGCATGGTGGTCGTGGCTTCTTGAGCGCGCTCACCATGCATAATCGCGAAGTGTGCAGCCTCCGTGATTACTTCCTGGCGAGATCGGATGATCCATTCTATAAGGACGTCATTTCTTGTGATAAAGGACTTACCCCTCTATCCTTAGCCAACGAGCAATGGCAAGACCCGGCAGTGCAGAGCATTTCTGACCGGGAGACCGTATGGAAGGAGAAGGAGCTCCACGGGAGGTTCTACAAGGCTCTACATGAGCCTTTCGTAGACACAGTAGCCTCCCTCCACTGGCTACGCTTTGGTGATCTCTTCGGGGAAACCGAGGGTTTTGTCTGTGCAATACAGGATCAGGTTATTAAGACCAACAACTATCGGAGATACATCCTAAAGGATGGCACCGTCGACATCTGTCGAGCTTGTCGCCATCCCGGTGAGTCACTTAGGCATGTTATCTCCGGTTGTTCGGCGCTTTCTAACTCTGAGTACTTGCACAGGCACAACCTAGTAGCCAGAATTCTACACCAGGAGCTCGCTCTGAAATACGGTCTCGTGGATCGGAAATTGCCGTATTACAAGTACTTGCCGGAAGCCGTGCTCGAAAATGATCGCGCCAGGCTCTATTGGGACCGTGCCATCATCACAGACAGGACTATTCTTGCGAATAAGCCTGATATTGTGCTGATGGACCGGGCACAGTCAAGGATATTTTTGGTCGACATTACCATTCCGTATGACGAGAACCTCGTGAAAGCCGAAACAGACAAGCAAACAAAATATCTGGACCTGGCTCACGAGGTGACCGACATGTGGGGTGGTCTGCCGACCGAAATTATTCCTGTAGTCGTCTCTGCAAACGGGCTAATCCCAGTCAGCCTCTCGGGTCATCTGAGGCGGCTGGGACTACGTGGCGGACCGCTCCAGGTTCAAATGCAGAAGGCGGTGCTTCTCGATACCGCCCGCATCGTCCGCCGGTTTCTTTCCCTTTTCCCCCTAACCCTCGGCCGTTTGGTCTCCCCTGCCGAGGGCCTCCATCTGGTTGGGCTTTTATTTATTTATGTACTTTTATATTTATTTTATGTTATTGATATTTATGTATATTTGTCTTTTCATTTTCATTTATAATTATATATTTATAGCACCCAACCAGATGAGAAAACTATATAGATACCCCAAAATAATAATAATAATAATAATACGCCGCATGCATTTGGAGATAATAATAATAATAAATGGCGTAGGGAATTGACGACCCCATCGCCCGCTGACGTAACAGTTACGGTATGTGACAAAACTACTACGTCGGCGCAGTCAGTCAGCGCCCTGCCAAGAGGTGTGAGCGCCGTGCCTAGGCAAAATTGTGGGTGCAAAGGTCCGTTTGTGCATATGACCGAACCACGAAACGGTGCCGGGCTTGGGCGTCTCCCGTTATTTGGCGCCCATAAATGGATGATGGTACAAAGAGGAACGCGCATAGGGCCGCTGCCTGGGGGTCGCCGGGGCGCGTCTGGAGCTGGCGCTGGACGCGGCAGCATGCGGGCCGCCAGCCGAGCGCGAGGAGCTGTACGATCACCTAGCAGCCCTCCGCATCCATCATCCCCACCAGAAGGCTTGGTGTCGGCTGGGTCTTCTCGGACTCAGCAAGCGGCACCCGCCGCTGGTGGAGCACGTCGCATGCGTTGGTCACAAACAATGAACGCAAACGCACTGCGGGCGTACTTTAGGGCAAAAGGGGAAGAAACCGGATGTTTGGCATATCGGGCTCGGATGCATCGCTTTTTTGCAGAGCTGGAGCCATCTCTATCCGTCACTGAGCAAAACCTGGCAGACCGAGTTCGGTACATCCTGCGCTCCAACATATTTGGTGACGCCGAACTCGAACGACTACGACGTGAGGCTGTTCCCTCATCGGATGGAAATGCTACGGCTGGGAATGCGGCGCCACTAATTGCGCAGCAAACTGCAAATGTGGACGCTGCCGTCAATATTCCATTTGTGGTTGATTCAGACGATGATGGAATAGTCCCCCACGAACTAGAGAAAATGAGGAGCATATTGGAAGAGTCGATGCTGGAAACGCGCAGCCTGCCTCTCGAAAATCGACCGCGCCTTCCCCGCATACCCCTTAGCAAGCGAAATCGGGCTGTCGTTCGGGCTCTTAACCCAATGCTGGTGACCTATTTGGAAGCCAGCCGGGACCTTTGCGAGACGGACTCTATTCTTTTTGGCGCCGCACTGGCAGTATGCCGTATTATTGGCGCCAAACTTCCCATGGCTGGACGTGCTACTCAACAAGGTAGTGCCATCCCAGCCTGGAGAAAAAGAATCGAGGACCGTATCGCAAAGGCAAGGGCCCTTATCGGCAGACTGACAAGCTTCAGGTCGGGTAATATTAGACCGAGAGTTGTGCGCACCGTTAGAATGGCGTTTGCTGGGACAAATATTAGTTTGTCCCAGCCGGATATCACGCAGAAACTAACGGAGCGCATAGATGACCTGAAGCAAAAAATCGCTGCTTGGGGGAAGCGGATTCGACGATTTAGCGAGAGGTCAAGGCGGTTCAACCAAAATCGTCTCTTCCAGAGTGATCAGAAGAGGCTCTATAAATCATTGGAGCGACCAGAGGTATGTGGAGCGGGCCCAGGACCGGATCAGGCTGACACTGTCGCATTTTGGCGTGGCCTGTGGTCAGAGCCCGTAAACCACAGCGAGGGCCCTTGGATGGAAGTTGTGGCGAGCCGGAGTGCAAGTGTTACGCCTATGGACCCCGTCACCATAACGCCTGAAGACGTGGCTGAGGCGGTCCGTAGGGCCCCGAACTGGAAAAGTCCGGGGCTCGACGGGCTGCATCATTACTGGCTGAAGGGGTTCGTAGTGTGTCACGCTGTGCTCGCCCGACAGTATCAAGAGGCTCTCGATCAGAAGTCGCTCCCGAGCCTCTTCACTACTGGGATCACTCACTTGGTTCCTAAAGATCAGGATACCACAGACCCGAGCAAATACCGCCCCATCACGTGTCTACCGACTATATATAAGACACTGACATCCATTTTGAGCGCGAGAATCACTCGTCACCTGGAGCTAAATCAGGTGATGTCACGCGCTCAAAATGGATGTCGGGGCGGTGGTCGTGGAACCAAGGAACCACTCCTCATTGACGCGGTCATTGGCAAAGTGGTGAAACGCAACCGTCGGAACTTCTCCGCCGCCTGGATAGACTACAGAAAAGCATTCGACTCGGTGCCCCATGCATGGCTAAAGAGGGTCCTCGAGCTGTACAAGATTGACTGTACAGTTAGAGACTTCCTCGAGCAGTGTATGGGGCAGTGGAGTACGATCCTCTGTTATCAGGGCGAGCGGATGATGGCTGCGGAGAACCACATAAGGATAAGAAGGGGTATCTTCCAGGGCGATTGTCTGAGTCCAATCTGGTTCTGCCTCTCTCTGAACCCTCTCAGTACCTTACTGGAGGGCTCCGGGAGAGGATTTCAGCTACGGAAAGGAGGAACAAAAGTGACCCACCTTTTCTATATGGATGACCTCAAGTTATTCGCCTCCAGTCGCTCCCATCTTATGGAATTGCTAAACATCACTTGTGAATTTAGCAATTCCATTGGAATGGAGCTGGGGACGGATAAGTGTGCGGTCCTTCATGTTGAAAGGGGAAGGGTTGCTAACTCTGAGGGCATAGATTTATCTATGCCCGTCAACTTAAGGACCCTTTCCGAGGCTGAAACATACCGATACCTGGGTATGTCACAGAACATCGGTATCGATGAGGCTGGTGTGAAACAGTCAGTTTGCGACGTGTTTTATGCACGCTTGACCAAAGTGCTTAACAGCCTTTTGTCCGGTGTGAATAAGACACACGCATATAACGGTTGGGTCATGCCTGTCCTCATATATACCTTTGGCATACTCAGGTGGACTCAGACCGAACTTAACGCCCTGGATAGAAAAGTCCGCACTACCATGACGTCCCATAGGATGCATCATCCGAGATCGTCGGTAATGAGGCTGTACTTGCCGCGAAAGCATGGTGGGCGTGGTTTTATGAGCGCGCTCACCATGCATAATCGCGAAGTGTGCAGCCTCCGTGATTACTTCCTGGCGAGATCGGATGATCCATTCTATAATGACGTCATTTCTAGTGATAAAGGGCTTACCCCTCTATCCTTAGCCCACGAGCAATGGCAGGACCCAGCAGTGCTTAGCATTTCCGACCGGGAGACCGTATGGAAGGAGAAGGAGCTCCACGGGAGGTACTACAGGGCTCTTCATGAGCCCTTCGTAGATACAGTCGCCTCCCTCAACTGGCTACGTTTCGGTGACCTCTTCGGGGAAACCGAGGGTTTTGTCTGTGCAATACAGGATCAGGTTATTAAGACCAACAACTATCGGAGATACATCCTAAAGGATGGCACCGTCGACGTCTGTCGAGCTTGTCGCCATCCCGGTGAGTCACTTAGGCATGTCATCTCCGGTTGTTCGGCGCTTTCTAACTCTGAGTACTTGCACAGGCACAACCTAGTAGCCAGAATTCTACACCAGGAGCTCGCTCTGAAATATGGTCTCGTGGACCGGAAATTGCCGTATTACAAGTACTTGCCGGAAGCCGTGCTCGAAAATGACCGCGCCAGGCTCTACTGGGACCGGGCCATCATCACAGACAGGACTATTCTTGCGAATAAGCCTGATATTGTGCTGATGGACCGGGCACAGTCAAGGATATTTTTGGTCGACATTACCATTCCGTATGACGAGAACCTCGTGGGAAGGGGGGGGGGGGGGCTTCCCCTGGGGGGGGGGGTTGTTTGAAAGCCGAAACAGACAAGCAAACAAAATATCTGGACCTGGCTCACGAGGTGACCGACATGTGGGGTGGTCTGCCGACCGAAATTATTCCTGTAGTCGTCTCTGCAAACGGGCTAATCCCAGTCAGCCTCTCGGGTCATCTGAGGCGACTGGGACTACGTGGCGGACCGCTCCGGGCTCAAATGCAGAAGGCGGTGCTCCTCGATACCGCCCGCATCGTCCGCCGGTTTCTTTCCCTTTCCCCCCTAACCCTCGGCCGTTTGGTCTCCCCTGCCGAGGGCCTCCATCTGGTTGGGCTTTTATTTATTTAAGTATTTTTATATTTATTTTATGTTATTGATATTTATGTATATTTATCTTTTCATTCTCATTTATAATTATATATTTATAGAACCCAACCAGATGAGAAAACTATATAGATACCCCACAATAATAATAATAATCTTTATTTGCAAGAATATGGTTGTACAATGGTGTTTGAGTATAATTCGTTCCACATATTCTACCTTAGTGGTATGCAAATATTAATGGTCAAGTAACCTAAACAACAATACTTATCGAATTTAACAACATATATTAATTTAACAAAATATAAAATTATTTAATATTATTTACTTGATTTGATAATTAATTTATTATGCCACAGTGTCAGAATAAATATAAGTAAGTATTATTATATCAAGTAAGATTATTATTATAGGTCAATGTCATATATTAATTATTATTCTTACGTCAATAATTATATAATGTTACATATCCAATTGTCATTAATATCTTTCTATTTTTACATCAAATTTATTAATTAATTAGATACATAAGTCAAATTTTATATAAAATAATATCAAAAACATTATTTTTTTTTAAATATCAGAATCTCGTAATTACGTAATTAATCCTATTCTAAAATTATCATTCATTATTACTCGTATGTAGGTCGTTGTCGTTTAAGAACTCTTCTACAGAATAATAACATTTACGGAGCAACAATGCCAAAACAGATTTCTTAAATGACAATAAACTTTTACGCTTTAAATTATCAGGTAAATTATTGTAAATTCTAATCGACATTGCAGAAGCATTTCTTTTTGTAACTTTTAGACGATTTGCTGGCGCATATAACCTATTCTTGTATCTACCCTTACTTTCACTCACATCACACTTACGTTGAAATAAATGTGGATGCTTATGAACAAATATGCACATTTCAAATATGTATAATGAAGGCAAAGGCAGGATCTTTTTAGTTTTGAACAAAGGTTTGCAACTCACTAAAGGACCAACACCACAAAGAGCTCTTATGCAGCGTTTTTGTGCTTTAAATGCTTTATCCGAATCCACCGAATACCCCCAGAGTATAACACCATATCGTAGTATGGATGAGATATATCCATGATATGCTATCAGTGCAGCTCTTTCCGATACAATATTTCTTAGTCTACGCAATGCAAAAACGAAACGATCTATTTTAGTACAAAGGCTTTCTATATGAGGCTTCCAACTACAAAAGTTATCAAATATTATTCCTAGAAATGTCGTGGAAACGACTTCTTCAATTATCGAGTTGTTATATGTGAGTTTAATGTCATTTGAAATGTTTTTGAGGGTTTTATATTCAATAAATTTCGTCTTATTTATATTTATATCTAAATTATTTATATTCATCCACTGTATGACCTCATTTAGAGCACCATTAGCTGCGATTTCAAGTTCAGATCTGTTATTACCTTTAACTATAAGAGTAGTGTCATCAGCGAATAAAATGCATTTGCTTGTAGTAAAATCAGGAAGATCGTTAATGTATATCAAGAACAGCAAAGGTCCCAGTACACTGCCTTGTGGAACACCAAAACTGTTTGTAAGATATTGAGATCGTTTTGATATCTTTGTGTTGTTTATGACTTTTGTAACTTCTACACACTGCTTACGATTTTTAAGATAACTCTCAATCCAGTTTTGGGCTGTTCCTCTTATTCCATACCTTTCTAATTTATCTAGTAGAAGACTGTGTGATACGAAGTCAAAAGCTTTGCTCATATCAAGAAATATAGTTAAAAGTGGAGTTCGTGAATTTAAGCTTTCAGTTATAATTTTCATCAGTTCATAACATGCTAATGTTGTGGAACAGTTTCTTCGAAAACCGAATTGTTCTGGTTTTAGAATGTTAAAGGCGCTAAGAAAACAATATAGTTTTTCATGCATTATTTTTTCGAAAACTTTTGAGAGCACAGGAATAAGAGTTATTGGTCGGTAGTTTCCAACGTCTTGCCTATCTCCCTTTTTATACATAGGTTTAACAATGGAGAATTTCATACGCGTTGGAAATACACCCTGTTTTAGAGACAGATTTATAATATAATATAATGGTTCTGAGATGTATTCAGCGCATTGTTTTAAAACTTTTACATTTAATTCGTCATAACCTGTTGAGTTTGTATTATTTAAAGATTTAAGTGTTTTATAGATGTCCCTAGGATGAGTTGGCATGAGATACATACTATTGTTATTGAATAAAATATTTTTATTATTTAAATATTGATTTGTATTATGTTTATTTGTAAGGTTAATAAAGTACTTATTGAAAATTTCAGCAATTTCCTCTGGTTTTATTCGCAGGTTGTTATTATCTCTAATTTTTTCAATATGACCAACATCTTTCTTGTTAGTGGCTTTGACTTTAATCAGGTCCCAAGTTGCCTTACATCTGTTTTTAGACCGATAAATATATTTAGTGTTAAAATTTTCTTGCGCTTCCGAAATACATCTCTTTAGTATTTTACTATATTTTATGTATTCACGTCTTTTATTTTTCTTGTCGTGAGTAGATAGTCTATATTTAAGATAGAGACATCTTTTTACTATGCAGCATCTTTTGAGTCCTTTAGTTATCCATTTATTTTTTGTTACCTTGTTTACTTTTTTTAATAGTGATAAGGGGAAAGCAAAGTTTATAAAAAAGTACTAACATGTCATGAAATTTTTCAAATGCAGCATTGGTATCAGTTTCAGAAAAAACCTCACTAAACGACAACGATGAAATACATTCTCGAAACTTATCAATATTATTAGTATTTAAGTCACGTCGTGTTTCAAACCAGTGTAATGGAGCCATTTTCTCTGGGTTATAACAGATATCAAACGAAACACTTTGAGCTGTTTCATGATCGGATAAAGCTAAACAATGTATCTGAGGTTTTACATT